AAAAAAAAAAAAAGAAAAAAAAAAAAAAAAAGAGGTTGGTCCATTGAGCAGTCCCCAAAGAAAACCTTAATGACAAGGTACCGTTCTGATTCCGTGGACGGGGCCAGTTTGAGGCCAACTTGAAGCTCCCTAGCCAGTGCAGAATTGTCATGAGTAAGTGCGACCGATTTATTCCAGCTCACCTTCATCTCTGAAGCTGATTCGTAGACACCAAGGCAGTAATGTAGTGCAGTTAGCGAAGAGACTGAGTTCTCTGATATGGCTGAAAAATCATCAGCCAGTGCAGACACTTTGAGCTCCAAGTGTGGCGGGACTTCTAAGCCCTTGTAGGCTTTGTGGGATCCATCATGTTTAGTAGCACTTCCATTTGGATAACAAAAAGAGGAGCCAGGGGCCACCCCTGTCTCAGCAACCTTGTTACCGTGAAGGACTGAGAAGTGAAAAATTGACTGTGATCCTTCCCTGTGACCCGTGGTAGAGGTTTTCCACCCATGGGCGGTAATTGGGTCCTATTCCAAGCCTGTGTAGGACTTGTAACAAAAATTAATTTTCCAATTGACTCCAAAAAAAAAAAAAAAAAAAAGCTTTTTCGAAATCAACGAGAAGAACCGCGATGTTGGATTGTTGTGTTTTGATGAGATCTAATGCTTGTGAAATCACCATGATGACGTTATGGAGAAGTTGTGAAATCGCCATGATCATGATGATCTAATCTTCTCTTTCTCTGTATGGTTCCAATTTTAACGGATATCCAGAAGGACTTGGTGAGGATTTCGATCACGTGCGGCATGTAGTGACATTTCATGTCCGTGGATTGCATCCTGTATCTAGGGACATGCCTTGTCTGTTGGCAATAGTGACCATCCCATCGGTTTCCGCCAATCCCCGCCTGTGTGGAAGGTCCAAGACATCACTCCAAGCGGGTTCAGAAAAGTGCAAGTTTGGGAAGTCGAAGACAGGCCCTCGTCGAAGCTGTTCCTAGTAGGGGAGGAGAAAGTGAAAAGCTAGTCGAACCCCCCACAGATCAGGGTCGTGGAGAGCACAGTCACTGGGAGAGAAAGTACGCAGTACCGATGGGTTGGTAGAGCACCTCTCAGGGATCTGTTGGTTGATCCGGTGGCTTGGCAATGGTCTGGGGGTAGCTCAGGCCCCATGGACTTAGTGTCATTCTCAGTGGGAGAATCCTACAGAAGAGCAGACAGGAGAACTAGATCGCCCGCCTCTGTAGCAATTGCTAGATGGAATGCGGTCCTGATTGACGACTTACAGGGCCAAGAGGCAAAGTTCAGAAAACTGTGGAGGACTTTGCTAGAGTTACCCATCCCCAAGCAGGCAAGCGTGCTATGGCTCCTCTCCCTGCTAGTCACTCCGTCGTCTGTCTGGTTGGTTAGCAGGGGCATGGAGGTCAATATGGGATGCACTCTCTGCACCTGGCCATTTGAATCCACCAGGCATGTCTGGTGGCATTGCCCAGCCTCTAAGAGAGTCTGGCAATGGTGGGAAAGTCATTGGAACCAGATGGGAGGGAGAGACATAGAATGGAATGAAAGGTGGGTACTGCTGGGGTTTGTGCCAGAGGAGAGAACAGGTTTGAGAGGATGGGCATACGCCGGGCAGGTGGCCAGAGCGGTCATCTGCTCTGCAATATGGGCAGACAGAAACCGCGCTCGATTTGAGGGTCGCCCGTTCTCAGACGTAGAGATGAAGGTACGATCAAGAAAGGGCTGAGACAGTCTATCTGGGTAGATTGGAAGCGGAAGGTTAAGCAAGGAAGAGGCTCTCGGCAGGCAAGATGGTGGTTTCTGAAGATGTGGGCCCAGGGGAACCGTTTGGTGAGGTTTCACAGGTCCAAGGGCCTGGTGATTTCTCAATGGCTGACGTAGCCTGAGGCTAATATTAGGAGGGAAGGGTAGTGGGTAGATAGCAAGCCTCTCAAGTACCAGAGCACTTGGTTCTGGGGGCTGTGTAGTGTACTCAGAGTGCCCAGACAAACCAGGTCACTCGGTTGTTAGGGCCACAGTGGGCCAGGTAGGAGAGTGACGTTGTAGTCCGGGACCCAGTCCCTGAGGGCCAGGTCCGCTGGGCCGCGTTAGTCCCAGCTTTAGGTAGTGGGGGTAGAATGGGACGGTAGGCAAGATCCCTATGTATGTCTTTCGGTGGTAAAACTGCAGTTGCTCGCCAATTTATAAGTGGATTCATTGAATTTTACATTCATATTAACTTGAGTTAATGAGACTAAAGCGGTGACAAAGGTTAAAGGTAAGTGTTAGTTATAGAAGTAAGTTAGCAGGAACTTGGAACTCAGTAGTTTGGAGTTCTGCAGGCAATTGCCTGTAAGCTAAGCTGGCTGATACTGTCAGATACCCCGGGTAGAGTTGTGAGGTCCCCGGCCTCAAATCTATTGGCAATGAATTGAGTACGAGTTTTCATTAAAAAAAAAAAAAAAAAAAAAAAAAAAAAAAAAAAAAAAAACAATAGTGGCTATCCCATAGGTTTTCCACCAATTTCCGCCTGTGAAAATGTTTCACTTTTGGATTTTTCAGATCCTTTCAACATACAACAAGATTGTCTCCTGGGTTGAAAACTTGAAATCCCATTTCCTCCGTTCCGTCGGGGGCGTACTTCAAGTGATAGAATGCATGTTTTGCAAGTATGAAATTATCGATTCAAGTCCGTCTCCAATTTCCCCGTGAGCCCACGTAGCTCAGGTGGTAGAGCATTCCCTTGTTAAGGGAAAGGCCTCCGGTTCAAGTCCGGTTGTAGGCTCTGTCTTAAATAATATATATATATATATATCGTCACATATATATATATATATATATATATATGGCTAAAAGCCTAAAACCAAACAAATAAAAAAAATGACTTTCAATTTCGGACCTCAAGGCACGTCTTGAGAGTCTCGTTTCTCAGACTCCAAAAGAGGGGGGGAGGGGGGGGGTTGGTTTTCAAGACTTCGTTGGCGAGGTGTAATGTGCTAAAAAGGAAACACTTGTGTCCCCCTGACATCCATCAATAAAGACCTGCCCGTAGCACCCCGTGAACTCTGGCTACAGTGCCAGTCTGAGACTCGTGCTCACAAAACAACAAACGTCAATTTCTCTCGTTACCACCAGTACTTGGCCCTGCTATCGGCCGCGGCGCTTCGCCTTTAAGGCTTCGGGGTACCAGACCAGAATGGCTGGAAGCGCCAGCCAAATTTTTTTCCAAACGGTACCCCAGCGCTTCGGCGAAAATCTGCACGAATCGGCGCGCAGGGGCATTCCAGGCTCGGCATCGATAGCTGGGCCAAGTACTAGTGGTTTAATGCAAGAAAACCTGAAAATTGTGTCACACGGCATAATAAACTTGGTTACTGGGTTCATTGCAGAACGAAACAAAACAAAACAAAACAAAACAAAACAAACAAACAAAAACAAAAAAAACAAAAAAAACAAAAAAAAAACACCATCCCTTATGCCGTTATAGAGGTCAGATACACCGCTCTCAGTAGTAGTGTGACTGTGCCCTCAGTGAGGGCGGTTCTGCCCCGAATACGCCTACCTCGCTGGCAGGGCACAACAAGGAAAGGAACTGCTGTTAGGTCCGAGTTACCTGCCCATTGGTAGGGCAATCATGGTCCTGAGTGCTGGTCACACTGAGGTAGGATAGTGGGATAGGGGGTGCGCTAGGAGTATGGACGTGAGGATGGGATGGGAGGTGGTCTCATATTCCAGGACACCCATGGCCTACTACTCCAGGGGTGAGATCCCACTAGCAACAAGGATTGGATTGCACGCCTGAATCTGGACGTGTTTGTGGAAAGGTGCAGAAAATCGAGATTGAACGGCTTTTCTGCATCTCTGCTTACAACACGTCCAGATTCAGGAGCTCAATCCAATCCTCTTTGCTAATGGGACCTCTCCCCAGGAGCTTGGTCCCACTTGCAACGGGATAGGATAGAAACGAGTTTGTGGGACAGTTGAGTGACCCAAGTCCTGCCGTGCAGTACTCGTGATCCCACGGTCAGTATTTTACATGTATTACCTGAAAAAGTAAGGAGATCTTGGTTCCCGTCCTCCTCTCCTTAACACTGGGCATGCCCGTGCAAAGAAAGCTTCCCGCCAGAATCTTTTCAATCGGTTGGGGGTGTGGCCAACCCCAAAAGAGGGTGGGGTCGGCCATAGGGGCTGGTTCGACACTCCTCGGGGCCCGAAATTCCCCAAGGAAATTGTCGTTCCACTCATCCTCGGGGAAGATTCGGAAAAGAAAATGTGAAAACATTTCCTCGGGGATTCCTCGGGGATTCCTCGGGGGTACAGCCATTTTGGCGATTTCCCCAAGGGACCTCCCAAGGTCCCTTGGAGGTCGAGCATCTGGAAGAATCGGGGCGTCGACGGCAGCTCCCTCGAAGACATTTTTCGATCCCGTCTGGTCCATCGGTGGTCCTGCCTGCGTCTACACTAACATGTTGGGTCGCCAACGTTCGGCTTCACGGGGTTCATCCCCAACGGTTACCGTTTGCGGGGTACCGGCATCCCCGACGTCCAGAAGGTGCCGTCTCGCGTCGTCGCGTTTGGCACGCCGCGGGAATTCTCCCAACGGTCGGCAGATACGAATATTTCAGGCGGCACAGTGTCTCCGAATGACGCACTGCCGTTGCTGACCGAAGACGACACCTTCTGTTTGTTGGAACGGCCGTTTGCAGCACTATACTTCGCTGTTATGTTGGCGCCCACGTTGTCTTCCGTCTGCTGCCGTCGTCGTCTACTGTTTCATGGCCGACGTGTTCCGCAGGCTGCCGCTGCTGCTCCTGGCTGTCCTGATGCTGCTCCTCTTGGTTGTCTTCCACGTGTGTATCCTCGGGAACGTACCGCGGCGTCGAAGCAAAAGAAGGTCTTCGATGAAGGACGCCAGGACGGCGGCACGGCAGGCAATCGCCAGGTTCGGAGGGGAGCAGGTCGGTGGGAGGCGGTGCGGGGGAAGCCCGTCGACTGTTGAAAGGGCGTCCCAGTGAGTTGGGTATGAGGCATTGCCACCACACTTGCAACCACTCCCCGGCTCATCAGATGAGGAGGAGGAGGAGAGACGGCCACGCACCGTGTCGTTGGGCAGCGGATCGACGCAGGAGTGGGCAGCTACGGAGCTGTGCGGGACGGGCGGCGGCGTGTACAAGCAATCGTTCACTGAACTCCTTCGCCCGAGCCTTAGCGGCAATGAAGGAGATGGCCACGTCAACCTGTCGTTTGGTCTGTCCACCGGGCGGTCCTCGACTCCATCGCGCACAATCCTCGTGCACCCCCACCCCGACGACGACGGCCGGCAATTGACGGGTGTCAACCGATCATCGAAGACGAGGGTGTTGGCGCGCGATACGAGGGGAGCGGACCCGAACTCGTCGACGCAGCAAGCACGGGCGTCGTCTCTGTCCAGGGCCGCCCAGGCTCGACCCCACTGGATGATGTCGCCGTCTCCTCTGTCTGCCGCGTCCGAAGTGGCCCGCCGCCGTGGCGGTAGCGTCGACGCCGGGATGGACTTCTTTGACGTTGGTGATGATCGAGACGGGAGGGAGGTGTGGAAGGAACACCGACAGGAGCTTTGGGCGTGGCGAGAGGAATCCATCCCACGGGGGGTGGAGCGTCTTTGCGTGGGTGAGCGGGAGAAGGAAACGGATGATCCACCTGTGGAAGCAGACGACGACGACGAAGACGACAACGACGGAGAAGGCGGGGAAGGGGGGGACGGTTACGTGTCGCTGTCCTTGCAGAGCGACATGGCTCTTAAGGGCGGGAAGTCGAAGTCTTCTGGCCGCAATGGTCGTCCGCGGGCGAAGAGGTAGGGAAAGGGGAGCGGTGGCTACGGCGACGGTGATGCGGAGGAGAAGCACAACTTCTGGTCCGTCGAACATATTATAGCCCTCATAAGGGCTAAACGTGACCAAGATGCGCATATGCAGCGGATGGGGCACGCATACGCCAGGATCAAACCGCGGGAATGGAAATGGCAAGACGTCGCTCAAAGATTGAAGAACGTGGGCGTGGACAGGGATGCCGAGAAATGCGGGAAGAAGTGGGACAATCTGATGCATCAGTCCAAGAAAGTCCATCATTTTCAATCGCAGTCCGGGGGGGCAGACTTTTACAAGTTGACGACGAAGGAGAGGGCGAGCAGGGGCTTCAATTTCACTATGGATCGTGTTGTTTACGACGAGATAGAGGGGTCGACCCGGATGAACCATACCATCCACCCCTAGAACTTGGCAGACACCGGTGCTTCTGGCGGTGTCCGTCTGCCATCGACGTCGAACGTGGATCCTGAATCGGTGGCGGATAGGGACAGAGGTGCGGGGCGAGAAGACGACGACGAGGGGTCGACGCGAGGTTCTTCCCAGACGACAGGTACCCCCGCTGGTTTTGGGAAGAGGAAGAGAACGAGACAACAGACTTTCGACGCGCTGACGGAATGCATGGAGAAGCATGGGGCGCTAATGGCGTCGACGATGGAGAGTGCGAGCAAGCGACAATGCTCCATCCAGGTCCGGCAGTGCGAGGCTTTGGAAGCTCAAGTGGAAGTGCAGAGGAAGCACTATGCTGCGTCGGACGAAGCCATGAGCGGTAGAGTTGATAGGCTGTGTGTTGTGCAATTGTGGGATGTCGGCAACGAGTCAGTAGGAGGCTTTCCCTTTTAGTCGTATTGGTAGGCAGGTTGTAGTGGACGCGGCGGGTCGTCTTTGGTCGTTCCTGGTCGGCGGTGACCCCTTGAGGAGGGTCACTCGCCATGTGTACAATTTCGTGTTGTGGCTGTGAACGTCGTCTAATGCTGCGGTGTTCGGAGACGGATAATCCCGTGATTGGAATTCTTAAACGTTCGGTGGAAAAGTGCGGAAAGCACCTACCTTTTTCTTGTACTTGATGTTCTGCGACTGCTTCTCTCTCTCTCTCTCTCTCTCTCTCTCTCTCTCTCTCTCTCTCTCTCTCTCTCTCTCTCTCTCTCTCTCTCTCTCTCT